TATCGTTGCTTACAGCTACAGCTCACTATGGAAGGGGATTAGAGCCACTATAAATAAAAAAAATAAACAGATTTTTAAATTTTATTTCCGTATGAGAAAAAAGTCAGAATTCTGATTTTAATTTCACAATTCTGACAGCTAACAAACATGTTAGCATCCAGCCGTAGCCTTGGATTGCCTTCCACTGTTCTAGTTAAACAGTTCAACTAAAACATATTTTCTTTAATCCAACTGTTTTTAATATTCTTTTTTGTTTCTGCATTATTTTATTTTATTTTTTTATTTCCTACTTGCTTTGATTCTGTTTTATCTTCCTGTATTTTATTTATGTAAAGCACTTTGCATACAAATAAATTTGCCTTGCCTTGCCTTTAGAGACCAGCTCTCTGGTTTTAATCACCTTCTGCTCTTCCGTTAATCACATAGCATCAGCAGGGGCCCCTCAGGGGCAGAAAAAGTCGCCTAATTCCATCATTTTCCACCAATGTGTTGCTGGCCTTCCTAAAATTCACATCTTTGTCAGTGAAGCTGAGTGCTCTTCCTTCATGGCGCCCATCTACATTATGATCCAACATTCTGAGATTAAAGGTAGATTACCAAGGATGTAAAAAGTTCTCAGCCTCACATGTTTAAGTCTCTCACCAAACCAGTTAGCAACTTAGTGCTAGCAGGTTCCCAATGGTAAAATTCCATTGGGACCAAGTTGCACTAAATTGGTGACTTAGAAACGACACTGTCAAGGAACGCTATGGACAGAGGAAACATGCAAGAGGAGGAGAGTTTAGTGTCGGAGGTCGTGGATGAGTCTCCTCCGTCATCCATTTTTTATTTAGAGGAGGAAAGCGGGGAGGAAGATGTTGTGGAAGAGGACGCCAGGGCGGCAGAAGCTTGGTTTGGTGTAGAAGGCTTCCAGCCGTACATGTTTGAGCCCTTGCCTCGCAACGCTGCCAGTTCTGTTAGCTCTACGCCTGCCGAAGACACAGACGTCCATCCCCGTGAACACTGGGACGCAACTCAATGGGAAAGGAAAGGATTCTGGTTTCAACCGTTGCGTATATTAGCTGCGACATATGAATCAAGATGCTATGACCGAAAACATTTGATTGACAGATGACCGTTGATATATGATTGGCCGAATTTAGGTGTTCAGGCTGACGTAGAACTAACTGGCCTGCAGAAGATAACAAAAAAAACCACAGATTTTAAGAGGATTTTCGGGACAATATGGTCTGATAAAGAGTAAATTTATATACATGTTTAAGCCAGAATGATTTGACATTTAAATATGACTTCCTTACAACTTTAACCCATCCCTTTGGGAAGCAGTGTGGGGTTAAGGGTCTTACTCAGGGACCCTGAGCGGAGGATCAAATGCACCGCTCTGACCCACTAGACCAACACTCCCCTATAATCTATAGTTTATATTTGGTAATATAAACTCCTACAGTTGACTGGATTACATAAAAACCACACAGAGGACTTTTAAAGAACGCCTTTTATTAAAATCATCTAAGCTAAAGCGTGATCATCAGTGTGATCGTCTCTAAAAGAACCAAGAGTTGAGCTGCTGGTGGATGTTGGTCCGTTAGCGCAGCGCCATCAGCTGCCAGTCAGCACAGCGTCAGAGCCTGAAGCTTCACCTCAGGCTCTACAGAAGGTTAAAGGTCACATTCGAAAAACACTAGAGAAGTTCTGCAGGGCTGAAATCAAAGATGGCGGCTTTCGTTTGCAAAGCCGCATCTGAAAGAAGAACCAACTGGAAATATGTCTGTTAGACGGAAGAAGATGTCTGGTCTTCCAGCAGAATGAGTCGACCATGAAGGCCGATTTAAAACAAACGGGTCCAGGTTAAACAAAACCAATAAAGTTATTTAATCTAAATATTCAATGTTTTATGAATGAAAAACTTTTATTCACACTTATTTTGATTAAATAAACTGATGAAACAAGAGATGAAATTCAATGACTTTATATCTATAAATGTTTCTCCAGTTAAATCTGACTACCTGCATCAATAAATGGGTCAAAGAAGGTTTATTAAAAGGTAAAGTTAGTAAAAAAAAAATAACCCAGAGAGCTTAAGGATGAGATACATTCTTTATTGTAATTAAAATATTCAATCATCAGCTCGGCTGCACTGCAGGAATGTCACATCAAAAGATTTCCAGACAAATCAACAACTTCATCATCTTTGAAAATATAAAATAAGCTGAAACCTCGCCGACCGTCGCACATCGACGGCTGGAGGGAACATTAAAAAAAACTAATCAGATCAATAGAACAGGGTGGAGATTAAAGATGAGCGTACGGAAGAGGATTAGGGCCACTGAAACAAAAAAATAGTAGTTAACTGATTTTTTTTTTTTATTTCAGTTTAACATGGGAAAAAAGTCAGAATTCTGACTT